ACCAGAAACGGGAAGATGCTACAATTTGTTGGATATGCGAGAATGATTTTTCCGACAATGATCAAGTGGTACTTGATCATTGCCATTACACCAACAAGTTCCTGGGTTGGGCACACAATGAGTGTAACGTTAATAGAAAAACAACAAATTACATTCCAGTGGTAGCTCATAATTTGTCAAATTATGATTTACACTTTATAATCAAAGCGCTGGCAAAAGCGATTCGGAAAACACTTTTTCCGTAATACCCGCATCTGAAAAAAAAATATATATCCTTGACAATCTCAGTATAAATAAAAAGGTACACGGACAAAAATGGAAAACTCAAAAAACTCTACGAAAATCTGAGGTTCATCGATTCGTATAGGTTCATGCTAGCATCGTTGGCAAAACTTGTCGATAATTTGCCCAGCAAAAAGTTTTTTCTGCGTGAGAACTATTTTGAAAAACTCGGCCGTTCACCTGAAAAAGTCAGTATACTGAAACAGAAAGGGCATTATCCCTACTCATACTTCAACTCATTCGAAAAATTCTGAGAAACTCACCTTCCCCCACGAGCAATGTGGAAAAATAGTCTAACAGGAGGGGATGTGAGTGTTTCAAGAAGCGAGTACAATCATGCCCTTAAAGTTTTCACCGAATTGAAGTGTGGCTCACTTGGTGATTACCACGACTTGTACTTGACTACAGATGTGCTATTGCTTGCTTCCGTTTTCGAAGCTTTTCGGGAAGTTTGCTATCAAACATACGGAGTGGATTGCGCCTGTTACTTCACGGCAAGTAACCTTTCCGGGGACGCCTTTTTAAAAGTTTGTAAGCCCGAACTGAAACTCTTAACGGACCGTGAACATCTGGACCTTGTGCAGCGAATGATACGAGGAGGCATGTCGTCGGTCTATGCGCGCCAATTTTTCGCCCTCAGAACCATCAAGCTACATCCTCAATATTGATGCAAACAATTTGTACGGGGGGATAATGAAACACTGCCCTTTGCCATTAAACGATTTTTCAATAGTTGAAAAAAGTCTGGCAGACATACTGCTCACCAGCGAAACCTCAGAGTGGGGTTATATAGTTGAAGTCAATCTAACCATACCCGAAGAGCTTCACGACTTCTTTGCTGATTACCCCCTTAACCCCTCTCGCGAAGTAGTGGACATCGGTGCAATGAGCAACGAGCAAGTCGACATGTTGGGAAAATTGGGAATCACCACACTGCCAAAAGTGCCAAAGCTTCTACAGACCTTGCATCCTAAAGAAGGTTATGTTTTGCACTACCTTACCCTAAATTTGTACCATGAGCTGGGAATGGAAATAACTCACCTCGGAAAAGTTCTTCAGTTCCGCCAAAGTCACTGGATGGCACCCAATGTCGACCTCAACACCCGCCTACGAAAAGCCGCGGTAAATAAATTCCAGGAGAACTTCTACAAGCTAATTGTTAATTCAGCTTTCGGTAAGACAATGGAGTCTAAGTTAGGAAGAAGAAGCTGGAGATTGTAAGGAATGAGAGAGAACTTTTACAAAAAACAGCTCTGAGCACAATGAAAAGCTTTCAAATCATTGACGATCAATTAGCCACAATTAGCTTTTCAGTAACAAAAATATTACGGGATAAACCTATGATAGTTGGTGCGACCATCCTAGATCTCGCCAAGCGTTTCATGTTTCAGTTTCATTATCAAAAAATGAAACCAATTCTAAACTTGGAACTCCTTTACTCCGACACGGATAGTTTTATTTACGCTATAAAAACTGATGACGTTTACCGAGACTTGGAGAAAATAAAAGCTGATTTCGACTTTTCAAATTACGATAAGGACCATTTCCTGTTCGAGGATAACAACAAGAAAGTTGTGCTGAAGTTCAAAGACGGGACTGGTGGGAAGCCGATCAGAGAATTCATCGCCCTAAAACCGAAACTATATTCGGTCGTCCTTAATGGTAAATAAAATTTAAGCCACCCTTCCACCCCCATTCCTACCTTTTACAGAACAAAATTACCACCACCAACCTACCTACACCCCTTAATTTGTTGCATTAAACTATGGGCATTTAGCTGATTTAGACAGCATTATACAATGTTGCCTAAACGTTGATTTATCTGACAACATATTCCCTCTTTTTTCCTCCTTTTTAATCATAGTTTAGAGTCTTCTGCTCTTTTTTGGTACAATGAATCAAATTTTGTTCGGTATAAATGAGTTGCTGAAGTGAAATGAAACTATCCCCTGCGTTGTAGAAAAGAATAATAATTTTGCTTCTGTTTAGAAGGCACTCAAAAATTGAGTGCCAAAGGAATTAAACGGAGTGCACAGAGAGAACTAGTCCACCAAACCTTCAGGGATACATTATTCACTGGAAAAACAATGAGAGTGTACAACTATAATATAGTTTCGAAAGGTCACACCAATATGACAGTGAAACAAAACAAACTTGCATTATCACCATTCGATTCAAAACGTTTTCTACTTTTCGACGGAATTTCGACAGTGCCCTTTGGCTATAAAGCCGCTCTAGAAAATGCTTTTCTAGAAGACATTTTCATGGACACCGAGTGGGCCAACTCATACAATGAAACTGATAACACTTCTCGCGATTTTACACTTCTGGATAGGGGATTTTTACAGCGGCCCTACTCAGAAGCAGAGCTGCAAGAAGAAGAAGCTTCTAGTAGCCGAGTCCGTGAACGTTCCCCTATAAAAAAAACCCATTTATTTTATCTGAAGCTTCAGAAGAACGACCATCTAAAAACAGCGCAAAAAAAACCAAAACAATAAACATTAAAGTCTGAAACATATATTTTCAGATGATTTTTACTGTTCGTCCTTTTTATACTTCGACTTGTATATGTTTTGGTTTTTACCAATTTACAACTAATTGAATACTCGTATTGAGCTCAATCACTGTTTTAACATAAATAGCTTCAGGCAAATAAACTAGTAGACGCAAACCAAGTGTTAATTCAAAAAAATGTGTGAAATCCTTAGGCTTGTTTTCAATAACAAACTTTAATAGCATGACAAATCTTAGACGAAAAGAAAGAAAGCCAGGAAATGATATCCACATGAAACTAGGACAAAAAAGAAAAGTTCAGGAATTAGGACGATTAACTTTAATTATCGCGGAAAAAGGGACCGCTTTAAAAGGAATTAGAAGGAATTATTGTATTGGGTCCCGGTTGTTAAGCTCAGCTTAACAAGATCCTAAGGAGGAGGTCTTTTACTTTAGGAGTGGGAACTTACGTTCATTTACAAAATCCTAGGATAGGGGTCCTCCAAAAAAATAAGGACCCCTTTCATACAATTTTGCTTTATGTGAGGACCCCCCCTTAGGACGCCCCCCCCCCCTTAGGAATCGGGACACGATACAATACTACTTTTTTAGGCACTTTGTTAAAAATTTTGACCAAAAAAAATTTAGTTTCACCCTCAAAATTAGTATATATTGGCGCCAAAGGCGCCTTAAGAAAAATTTTACGGTCGATCAACCAAAAATGGATTTCTTACAAAGTACCAAAGGGGGACCCCTTTGGGTCGGCAGAAGGTAGAATCCCTGAGGGGGAAGCGTCTGCCCCTTCTAAATCCACCCCTTAGTAGCGGATTTAGGAGAGGGGGGAGCGGACGCTTTTTCTTGGGGACTCGACCCCGTGCCTACCCAAATGGTCCCCCCTTTGTACTATTTTGAGACATCCATTTTTGGATGACTGACCCGTAAATTTTTTTTAAAGGTGCCTTTGGCGCCAATATATACTAATTTTTATGAGGGAGCACCTGCCGAAAAAACTCAATTATTTATCGAATTTTTCCAAAGAATGCATAAAAACGCCTTTTTTGGCTTGTTTATTTTTGAATGCCTGCGGCGCAGAAAATTTGATCAACCTAGGGTCTTTATTGTGATATGGGAGAGCTCAGAAAATCATTTTGGTCGACCTAAAAAAAAGGTCTAGAAAACTTTCAAAAGTTTTTTGAAAATCCGCCCTCTCGAGAAATTCCTAGATCCGCGCCTGATTAGAATTATCAATAACGACATAAATGCGGTTTCGAAATTACACGAGGGTATATTTGTAATGAAGTCATAGTTCATCCAAACTAATAAATAAGCTTCAGCTGACAAGGTATCTCTAAAAAGTTAACTGAGAAAAAACTACCGTTTACCATAATTTTTTGGACCCTATATGTAGCTATAGCGTATATTATTTTTGGTGCCAGGTAAATAACACAGCAGAGCATAAGAACGACAAGGTTTTCAGCCGACTTTTTTTCTTCGTTGTAATCACAGTTAAAAAATAACATCATTAAAGCACCATTGGAATTCTAAGTGTTTTTAAGATTGCAACCTTTAGCTTTTCGGCTAAAACGTGGAGAAAACAATGAACGTGTCTTTTGATACAATTTTAATCATATTTTCAGATACGTTCAAGGCTGGATTTATTGTTCCGACTTTCGAAGAAAGGATGAATAATTTGTGATCGGTGTACTTTACTTTATTATTTATACCTTTTCTGTTTTTTACGTAGCCACTTTTGAATGGAGTTTTTTGCACCACCTGAAATGCATTTAAAACCTCAGCTCAAATTTCAAACATTGTCACTTGTGGTCGTTTTTTGTTAAGTTATGCCGGTTTGAAAAAATCTTTATAGCTAGCTCTGGACATTGATCTTTGGCAGGGGGTCGAATCCCTGAAGGGGTGGAGGGGGGGTTGTTGGGGGGTTGAGGAGAGCATACGCCCACAACCCCCCTAATTCCACCCCTTCAATTCATGTAATAATTTCAAGATACAAGCTATAAAAACGCTCAAAAAAGAATTTGTTTTCAAAAACTTTCAAAAACTTATGAAACCCCTCGACTAATGCATTCATTGAGTTATAATTATTTTTAAGTGCAAAATTAGTGGTGAAACTGAAAAATCAATCAGTTCATGCGTTGCGCTCGGTTTTTTCTAGACTTAATCAAGTGACAGTACCTGCTTTTTTATGTTGTGGAAATTTTGTATTTTAGATCACAACGAGTGTGCACCACGAAGCGAGCGGAGAAACCTGGCTCATCTGTTTCGGACTCTGGTTCATCGGACTGGGTTTTGGCTGTTGTCTCATCCCATTCTGCGTCGACGAATGTCAGAGGGCTGTTCACACCTGCCCAAACTGCAACGCTACCCTCGGATCAAAGGATGCATTCTAGCTGCAGATTTAGTTTTAAAAAGACCTGGCGAAAAGTCAGAGCTTCCGAGAATTAAACCGACTGCTCGAAAACTCGGTGAAAATTTGTGAATATATAGAATAAAATGAATTTGATCTGACTTCAAAGAAAAATGCAAAACCTTATAGATTTCCGCCAATTGGGATATATTTCGAAAAAAAGTTATTGTTTTAACGAAATATTTTTCCATGGCCAGGGATTGTTCCTAAAAAAGTTTTATTTTGAATCCAGAAAAAAGTACGAATAGTCTGTCATTTTCTGAAAGTTGGTACAACAAAGCGCTTAATGAGCTTAATGTTTCTTAACAATAGGCACTGACTTCCGAATCTGCTGTATGGTTTAGCGATTGAAAAAAATGCCCTCAGGAGCAATTTTGAATGCTTTTCTTTTTCTCTCGTACTTATCATAAGTTTTTTTTCTCGTAGTTAAATTTTTTCATGAAAGGATATGAATTATTTTAAAAAATGATTTATAGCACAAAAACGTCAACGGGTATTACAGATGATCCTTAGGCATTAATTAAACATAGACGAAAAACGCAATGATTTAGTTTGAAGTGAACTATGTAATAGTTTTAGTTTCTTAAGCCCTAAATGGACCAAAATCTGAATTTTTTTGAGCCTTGAAAATCAGTCTCAAACTGATTTGAATGTGGTTAAAAATGGTTGGTCAGAATTTTAAAATTTTGACTTCTGACATTTTAGTTTAAGTTAAGGACATGATTTCGACATTACAAGCTCAGATCACAAAATACGGCTTCTTGTCCATATGTAAAGAAGTTTTTTAAAGCCACATTATGCCCTCTAGATCAATTTTTGAACCCATGGAATTTACTTAAAAACTTCCCCCTATGGTACCTACTGAAGAATATCCATCCCTATGAATAGATAACGTAATTTAGCACAAGAGCTAAGTATTAAAAAATTTAATTTTGCTGGATTCTGATTGTATTACGCTAGCAAAAACTATTGACGTCGGACAAAACGCTTGCTAGGAATAAAGGGTCCTTTCTACTTTCTATCTTAGAAAGTAAATCTAAAATTCGCTGAGAAATATTTTATTAAAAAAGAAGTTAGTATGAATTTACAGCAAGTTGCCTTTTGACTCAATATTTATTTTTTACGGTGAGATTGGAGATATTTTCTCTGAGATTGAATATTATTTTAGAGAAGGGTTGGGGTGGTTGAGGAGAGTGGTGATGGTGGTAGAAGAGAAGTTGTTGGAATGAATTCCCGTAGTTTGAGCTTCTATTTATACTCAAATGGGGAAATCACGCCACTTTTCGTATCAAATGAGAAGTTTCTTTTAACTTCGTATTCTTTATTCGTACATTCGTATTTTACGAGAAGAAGGTTTCGTATGCTCGTACTTTACGAGAGGAATCGTTAATATTCGCTTTGAATGAGAATAGTCGTTTCAATTCTCAATGCTTAAAACGTTATACGAATTATTCCAATAGCATTTCCCTTCCTTTTGCAGGGGAATAAAAACATATTTCTTTTGTGGTGGCGGCGGCGTCACATTTTGTGAACGCAATAAAATAATTCATGATTCTGTTTCTATTTGAAATCAGAACATATCCATCCTCCTATTTGGAGAAGGAAAAAAACTAAAACTTTCATTTTTATTACTTTCACTTGAATAGTGGGGTAATTGTTGATCGATCGAAGCTTTTTCTTTCAATCTCATAAAGTTTGTTGGTATTACGGATGTTAGCAGATGTTTTTGAACATAAGCTTTTTCTTTCGATCTCATAAAGTTGGTTAGTAGTTTATTGGTATTACAGGTAGCAGATGTTTTTAATCAACTGATACTTTGAGTCAGGCTTGAATAAATATAAATACATCAGTTACATTTATAAATCAAAATAGAGTTTACACAACCAAGGGATTTAACTATAAAATTAAATACATCAAAATTATCTGTTTCTCAAAAGTTTGAAGGTTAGTTTTATTCCTTGAACATTCTTTTTCCGAAGTCTCCTTTTCTTCCTGAAGTATGTGAAGTCTGTCCAAACGCGTAATAAGGGGAGGACTGGTTCATACAAAGGGAGTATTTTTTTGTGTTTTTTGTTTTTTATAAAAGTCAAAATTGTTGAAAGGAAATTAATAGCTATACTACATAGCTATATAAAGCGAAAGAATAAATGTTTAAATATAAGAATAAATTTCTTACAATTTTCCTTCCAACCGGGCTATAAGTTGTTGATTTTTTGTTTTCAGATTGTGGATTTGCTTTTTCAGCTCCCGGATTTGGTGCGTTTCATGTATATGACTGCGCTGAATTTGCTCAGTATAGTCATCTAATTGGGGGGTTTGTAATTTTGCTGTCAGATATTTTGCTGGGACATAGATTTTTTGATATTCAAGAAGGGAATTAGTTATGGAATACATTTTTTTTATAGGGTGATAGGCTTCTAATTTAAAACGATTGATTAATGGATTCAAAGCATAATTGAGATCCATATCGAAGCCAGGATTGCTTTTAGAATTAATGTATCGTTCCCTTTCTAACTGAATATGTAATTTTGTGTTTAATTCAGTGGGGTGCAAGGGCTGTCGCCTAATGGTCATTGGACAATGAGAAGTTGATACCGGCGTATTTGCCGTTAGTATCTCATATGGTCTTACAATCTGGGTTCGCTTTTTAATTTTGGAATTCGAGGGAACCAGGGGTATTTTGAAATCAGGGGGTGAAATTTTTAGGGGTGGTGGCTTTGATGCTGTAGTTATTGGGACAGCTGAATTGGTTTGAAGTAGTGGCTCAACGAAAGATCGTGTTGAGGTCGGCTTTGCAGTGGGTGTTGTAGTAGTAGAAACAGTTGGTTGTTGAGTGAGTGCTGACATCTGCGAGTCCAGTGGATCGGTTGGTGGCAGGAGTGAGAGAAGATCCTCAAAATCTCTCAAGTCGTCATCAAGTGTTGCGTCCATAGTTGAATCAGTTGGTATATCCTAGAACAGTAGAAATTTGTTTTATTAGACTGGGTTTGTTGGGTGATCCAAGTTTTCAGTTCTTCTCTCAAAACTTGTTAATTGGATATGAGGATACATGCGATCCTGGTTTATTTTATCAATTTCCTCTAAAAGAGGAGCTTGTATTTTTTGATCACACTCTTGTTCTATTTTTTCAGTTTGCTCATCTTGAGTGAAAATTGAGGTCACTATGGAAGTGAAAAGTATATTATATGAAGCGGCAAGCAATACTTTGCCGAAGTGTAGTGAGCGGCCGGTGATTTTGTGAATATGCATAGCCACTATTATGAATACTAGGCAATCTAGTATGAATTTCACAAATAGAAAAGAAGCGAAGACTATTCCGCATTTTTCTAAATAGTATTGTACTTTCCCGAATATACGGGTGTATTCGTTTTTCCAAAAGTTTGGAGAGATGAGATAGTCCAAATATATTGTTTGTGAAGAGCCTAGTGGGCTGTAAGAGTCCTTGAAAAGAATTTTTTTGCATTTAGAAAGGACCTGGAAACTTTTTGCAGTATTCCTTTCATCTCTGAATTATCAGAAATCATATTCCAGAATTTTTGCATTTGAGCATAAGTGTAGATTGAAGCGCCTTGGCTAGAGGCTAAATAATGCTTAATCTTTTGAATTATCTCTTTTGGAGATATGGTCCTGTAACCCTTGTAATTTGAGGGGTTAATTCAATCCAGGACTTATCATCATCAACATCTAGTTGAAAGAGATTCGAATGTTTGTCGGAGCAGTCTTGTAGATCTGCCGACTGAAAAGTTTGTCGCGTAATTGGATCAACAAATTGAATATTTTCCTTATACATAATGGGAATACGTTTATAGCATTCATCCATTAATTGCATAGGTGAATAAAATTTTGGACAATGATAGAGCCAGGCAACATTACCATTGGTCTCTAAGAACATAGAGCGGTTTTTGGTTAGAATATAGCCAGCCAAACGTGGGCTTTCAAGTGAAAGCATTAAAGTATTTAATATTGAGGAGGGTTCTAGCTCACATTGATTTTGCAGAAGGGCTAACTCGGCCGTTCGGAGCATGTAGAAGCTATAAAAAAGAATATAGTCCAATTTGGTACCTATATGAGCTTCGTAGTCAATTTGATGACTTGAAAATTGGAGTGGCGGCGAATCATCACTTAATGTGAGAAAAGTAGAATTTGGTTGGCCGGTATTATGAATAGTTCCCGTTTCTGGGGTTGGTTTAACTTGGATTCCAGTATCCATATTGAAACCGTCAGTGTATGCAATAAAAAGCGAATCATATGAAGTTGGATACACTATTCTGGGATGACCACAAAAAGATTGCGGTTTATTCATCACCTGTAGCATAAATTTTTGAGAATCCCTTGTATGGGTAGAATGAATAGATGGGCTAGAATCGCCTTTAATTATATAGTATGATTCTTCGTTTTGAATCATTTTTGCCGGAAATCTGTTTAAAACAGTGAAAATGCAATTGTTAAGTTCTTCCCAAGTATAAGCAAAAGCGTCTAAGGATGTTGTTTCACATCCATTTGTAGACACTGGACAGGGCAAAGGAATGTTTTGCCAATTATTGACTGTTCCATCTTTGAGGTTAACAGTCAGAGTTACATTTTGCATGTAAGTTTCAAAAGTGTCCAATTTAATCCAAGAACGGCCATCACATTCGTTATGATGTTTGCCGTCAACTTTGCCAGCATGGGCATTAGTTACTGTTTTAACATTAAATTTGAAAGGAATATTTCCAATACTAGCATAACCTAGGTTAAGATAGCCTCTGTCGGCGGCCGATTTACATTGATCGGCAGATAAATGGAGATCAGTAGTGATCATATTTTGTCGAGCGTCGATACCACTCGAATCAAAAGAATATCAAAACCAACGCATTGATTGGTGTTTGATTCGACACATTGTCGCATTTACTTTTGTGCGATAATGTCTCTGATATAGAGTAACATAAGCATGGGCTACTTTAATATTTTCTGGTTGGACTTTGCAAGGTGCTACTTTATTTAGAGAGAACATTTTGTTAGAAGTCATTAGTTGACAATCATAATGAGCAACCCGAAGATTATTTGCAGTATTTGCATATAATTGTTCTTTCGGATCAAATGCTGAGGTTTGATTCAAAAGTATTATTAGAGTTAAAAGACCAACCAAATAAATTTTTTGCAAATTTATTTTTTGGTGGTGAATGATAGCA